AACACACAGAGAGAATCTCTCTAGAGAGATATATAGATATATATATACACACACACACACAGACACACATGGAGACACGCCCCCCACAGTGTGTCTCTCTTTTTTTTTCTCTCTGTGTGTGTGTATACACATATATATATGTTTAAAAAAAAAGAGTCTCTCTATATTATAGTGTGTTCTATCTTTTTTTTTTTTTATATATATATTTATTTATATATATATATATATATATATATATATATATATATATATATATATATATAGAGATATATATACACACATATATATATATATATATATATATATATATATATATATATATATATATATATATATATATATATATATATATATATATATGTATGTATGTATGTATGTATGTATGCAAATGCATAGCCTAAAATAAAAAGGAAAAAGCGTCAAGGTATATATATACAAATGTATAGCCTAAAATAAAAAGTAAAAAGCGTCAAGGTTTTAGGCTATCCGCACATTTATTTATTGACAACTTGTAACATGCTCATTGTATTGTACCTTTGAATATTCGGTCTGAAATCACAAGTAAGTTTGACTCGTGAAATTCTAGCCTATTATTAAGGAGAAAGTCCGAATGTGTGAAAATAAAAGCAACTTTACCTGCGTAACGCAGGCTGTACAGTTCCCACAAACAGCGGTGGATGTACATACAAGAGACAGAAAAGGAGCGATCAGCTCACCTGGGGTTGGTTCGGTTCCAGAAGACAGCATATCGATCAGCCATCACCTTTGAGCTGGGCTCCTGACTAAATACACACATCCACAGAATCACACCCACGAACACGATCATCTCCGCCTGCAGCATCTCTCCGCTTTGCGCGCTCGGAAACTCGCGGATATTCCCGTTCCTCCAGCCGACTTTCCTTCACATCTGCGGCGGGTTCGGCTGATGCCAGACCGCGGGGAGAAGTGTGGAGATCTGCCCGCTCCTCTGCTGCGTCTGTCAGCGGCGTGAAGCTCCGCACTACGGTCAATAACTGTGTTCACTGCGCAGACGACAAAAGCATACACACAAATATCAGCGCATTCTAGCAGGCGTCAATCAGAAATCACGCGCATTTCAACACTTTTTGCGCGCATCCAGAGAGTCCGAGGTGTCCGTCTGGAGAAGTTGTCGACAGTGGCAGGGTCTCAGACTGAGGTGGAGAGCTGAAGTCTGTTCACACACACACAAACACAGCCGCGATCAGGACGCGCGCGTCGTTCTCCGTCATTCTACAACGCGCGGTGAAGGAACGCGCGGATCTTCTGAGTTCGGCGGGAGGTGTGATGATGATGTGAACCCGGCGGCGCGCACTGCGAGTGTGAGTTCGGTTACAGAGGGGCGCAGGGCGTGCTCATTGGTCCACATTTGAGTGGGCGGGAAGACACCAGCAGAGACCACGCCCTCAAGACCTGACTACATGTATGTAACCCACAGATGACCAGATAGTTAGAAGAGACAGGTAGGACACGTATTTCTTATTATAAATTTAATATAAACACATATGTGCTGTGCTTTATAAACAAATTAATACATTAATAAAAAATTAATTAAATTTAAAAAATATTTCTTAAGTGATGTTTTCATGGTATTTTCTATAATATTCCTCATCTGGTTAATATTATTAGACCCTTTAAGACTTTTTATAGACCCCTCCTCCAAATCCAGACTTCAGTATGTAACCCACAGATTGCCAAGATATTAGAGACAGGTCTGCACTGTAAAAATGGCTCATTGGATTTACTTTTTTATTTAAGGTAAGGGGTTGCAAACCATATGGGCTGAATTAAAAGAAACAAATTAAGTTGAACATTTAATTTTAATTCTAGATGTAACAGTTTTGTTTAAATTTAGCCCATATAAATTGTGTGCAACCACTTACCGTGAAAAAATAGTAAATTCAATGAACAGTATAGTGTGCATTTCATATTACAAATATTATATAAATGGCATATATGTAATGTGCTTTAAAATAACTACACAATATATTGGTGAAGACAAAATTACTGTCCCTCCTGCTCCTGTGCAATTTTAATTATTTTAAAATATTTATTAAGTGCTATTTTTCCATTGTATTTTCTAGTTTTTATTCTGGAGAAAGTCTGCTACAGTAATTCTTTTACTAAATTCATTTAACTATTTTTTTTACTGCTTTGGCTGGAATAAACTCATTAAAAAACATATTTTGAAGTGAATATTATTAGTCCCTTTAAGATTTTTTTCAGTAAGAAATTTTATTTTAGTAAAATTTCACTGTAGTTTCATTGGAGGGCTGATCATTTTGACTGTATATGATGACTTCAGTTGTATATAATGGCTTTATGTTTGAACTTCTTATTCTGAATCAATTAAAACATCAGGAATCAAACAAACAAATAAAAATATGCAACTGTAATATAAAATAATTTAATATAATATAATATAATATAATATAATATAATATAATATAATATAATATAATATAATATAATATAATGTAATAAATTGTAATATAATATAATACAATATAATAATATAATATAATATAATATAATATAATATAATATAATATAATATAATATAATATAATATAATATAATATAATATAATAATATAATAATATAATATAATATAATATAATATAATATAATATAATATAATAATATAATATAATATAATATAATAATATAGTATCACATAATATAATATAATAATAGTTTTTTCTCATTTTTTAGCTGATAACATGCAAAATATAATATAATACTGCGTCACTTGCTCAAAATGGATAGTTCATTCCTCAAAAGCAAGTATTGATGTCAATCAGTGTCAAAATCATCAAAATGAAAGTCCTGACAGCATTGTTTATGAACAAGATAGTCAAATGGCTTAGTCATGTTTTCATTATGACAGTTTACTCTCTACAATTTTTCCAGTGCGAAAAAAGTCAGATTTTGGTGACACTTCCTGAAAATGCTCAAAACAGCACTGTATACTATTTGCACAGCCATTTGAAAACTACAGTAAAGTTAGACATCACTGCATTTAGTGAGGTATTTGAGTACAAGACACTGAATCTGTATGTTTCACATGTTTACAGCATTTGCAACTCTAATTTATTCACAGCATTGTGCAAAAGAATAAATAAACCCTTATTTACAACAAACATAAACTTCCTTTGGGTAGAGCTTTGCAAAACTGTAAACAATATTGCAAAACATATTGGAACTGAGCCTACAACACACATAGGTCTATAAATCATTCATGAAACTGTTCAATTTTTAAGACATTTTCAGGAAAATATAGAATTAAATTTTTTCATAAAATTTGCTAGAAAGATTTTGACAACTAGTTCAACATTTTTCTATGTAACACTTAAGTAATAAAGTAAGGACTGTTAGTTTCATATGGAATGACTAATCAGCATTCACAAGTTTAGTTAATTTTGACTGTCATGACATAAGCAGATGATAATGTTATAAACAGCAGAGAGTTGTATGAAAACAATTGATGCATGTCCAAAACCATTCACAATTTGTTGGAAGGAATGAGAAACTGCTACTAGGATGTGCACAAATGACTAATTGTTTTGAGAAATGCATTAACTGTTGTGCAAATATAAATAGTGTTGTGAGAAATGCACCAAAGTGACGGAGAAAAACTGTAACTAAAATCTAGTAGTGTGGACATACTTTTTTTCAACTCCAGAACAATAAGAAAAAATAATAATAGAATGGAATAATAGAATTATAGAACTATGAAATGACGGAACAATAGAACAATAGAACAATAGGTAGAAAAATAGACAGAATAGATGGAATGAGACAGACAGATGGACAGACGGACCGGTGGTTGGACGGACAGGCAGACAGACAGACAGACAGACAGACAGACGGATAGACGGATAGCTGATAGATAGACAGACAGACAGACAGACAGACAGACAGACAGACGGACGGACGGACGGACGGACGGATGGAATGATGGATAAAGGGAATGATGCATGGATAGATACATAGATAGATAGATAGATAGATAGATAGATAGATAGATAGACAGACAGACAGACAGACAGACAGACGGATGGATAAATGGAATGATGCATAGATAGATAGATAGATAGATAGATAGATAGATAGATAGATAGATAGATAGATAGATAGACAGATAGACAGATAGACAGATAGACAGACAGATAGACAGACAGACAGACAGACAGACAGACAGACAGACAGACAGACGGACGCATGGACGGATGGATGGATGGATATAGATAGATATAGAAAGTTCCAATAAAATGTGGAAACCCAACATGTTTGAGTGTGAATGTGTGCGTGTGAGCTTGTGTGTGTACGTGTGTGTTCAGCAGTCAGATGCCCCACAGTGGGAAACTCAGTAAAGTTTCATCTGAACAGTCCTAATCTACACCCGCAGGCGGCAAACACACGAGGAAACAGCTGTGAGCGGCGCCAGAAAACACACTCCGGCAAGAAATTTACTCAATTATAGAAATTATGTAAATGTCAAGCAATCCTCGACCTCCATGTCAGGAGAACAGTGGATGTGTTAAATATTAGATCTGTGCTGGGACTCCGGGATGCTTCATCTTTCAGCCTGTTGCTTTACAGGATGAGCACGACCTTCAGAAGAGGAAATGATGCAATAATATTCCTGTACTGACACTCATTAAATGATCATTAATTGAATAAACACATTTGATTATATAATTTGATTTAATGACCAATAAAATATTTTAATACATAAAATCTCATTAACTACATGTGTAAAGTCACCATAAAATCAAAACGTTCTCCGTTTATTTTTATATGTCTACAGTAGATCTTGTTATAAACGATGTGTCTGTGCACTTCACTGTCTTGGAAAAATGTTATTTTGTTCACAATCTTTTATCAAAAACCATAACCTAACCCTCCCCCTGGAAATGACATTTCTTCACTTCTAGTCACATGGAATTATTTTAGGGAGGGGCTATCAGTCATCAGGGAGGAGCTATGAGTCATTAGGGAAGAGCTATGAGTCGTTTAGGGTGGTGCTATCAGTAATTTAGGGAGGAGCTATAAGTCATTTAGGGTGCGGCTATCAGTCCTTTAGGGTGGGACCATCTGTCATTTAGGGTAGGGCTGTCAGTCATTTAGGGCGGGACTATCAGTTATTTAGGGCGGGACCATCAGTTATTTAGGGCGGGACTATCAGTCATTTAGCGTGAGACTATCAGTCATTTAGGGTGTGGCTGTCAGTCATTTAGGGTGGGACTATCAGTCATTTAGGGCGGGACCATCAGTCATTTAGGGTGGGACTAATAGTCATTAAGGGTGTGGCTGTCAATCATTTAGGATGGGACTATCAGTCATTTAGAGCAGGACCATCAGTCATTTAGATCAGGACCATGAGTCATTTAGGGTGTGGCTATCATTCATTTAGTGGGGGACCATTAGTCATTTAAAGTGTGGCTGTCAGTCATTTTGGACGGGACTATCAGTCATTTAGGGGAGGACTATCAGTCATTTAGGGTGGGGCTATCAGTCATTTAGGGGAGGACTATCAGTCATTTAGGGTGGGGCTATCAGGTATATAAGGTGGGACTATCAGTCATTTAGGGTGGGACCATCAGTCATTTAGGGTGGGGCTATTAGTCATTTAGGGGAGGACTATCAGTCATTTAGGGTGGGGCTATCAGTCATTTAGGGGAGGACTATCAGTCATTTAGGGTGGGGCTATCAGGTATATAAGGTGGGACTATCAGTAATTTAGGGCGGGACCATCAGTCATTTAGGGTGGGACTATCAGTCGTTTAGGATGGGGCTATCAGGTATATAAGGTGGAACTATCAGTAATTTAGGGCGGGACCATCAGTCATTTAGGGTGGGACCATCAGTCATTTAGGGTGGGGCTATCAGGTATATAAGGTGGAACTATCAGTCATTTAGGCCGGGACCATCAGTCATTTAGGGCGGGACCATCAGTCATTTAGGGTGGGGCTATTAGTCATTTAGGGGGGAC